TCTCCAGGTCTGACAGAAGATGCTAATTGTGATTGCTTGTTACTATCGATCGTCCCAACTGACACATTTTTTAATACACATTTTTAATAACTGGGGGTGCATAAGTCATACAGCAAACCAACTGCTTCTTTGTACCTCTTGTGCTGCTGAAACCAACCAAAGCACTTCAGAGCCCTTAAAAATAAACCAAAGGTGTTCAAAATAGGTGGTGGCAAAGGTTTGGAACCCAAAATAAGATGAAATAAAGGTCCTTGAAAAAAACAAGAAAACAAAACTGCCAAAACAATATAAAGAAATCACCAGATGTTCTTCATGAGCTGAAAGCTCTTCAGTAAGCCACAATTCTCACCAGAAATCTACATTAGAGTTTCCATTGATAGCTGGCACCACAAGGTGGCAAAACAGCATCTCCACGAGAACGCCAACGTACATTGGAGGCTACACCTTCAGGCGTTATAAAAGACACCCAAAACCTCCCCATGTGCAAGGCCATGTTTGCGGCAAGTTTCCTGTGAACAGCGTGACATGCTCCCCATCGAGGCAAAACACCCGGCAAGTTTCCTGTGAACAGCGTGACGTGCTCCCCATCGAGGCAAAACACCTCCATGCAATAACCCAACAGGCAAAATCCCAAGTGCAATTGTACGTTGGCTGCCCACCAAGGCACTTGGGTCCCAGCAATGGTACTTTTCCACTCCGGAGTTGTGCAAAGCCAACGAGGCAGCACCGCTGGAAAATGCCCCTCCTGGCATGGTGCCTGCATTCAACAAGGAGATGGACATCGTCTGTTGTGCAGGAAGGAGCTCGACATCATGAGTGCCACGCGCTTTGCAACACACGGACAGATGTTTCGGCACCATCATCTGCTGTCAAGACATGCCGAAAACCAGCTGTACGGGTGATTTGCCAAAAGGCTTTATTTCAGTGCTATTAGTAGCCTCCAGCTCTGAAATCAAGAGCTGTTCTTGCCTCTGACATGCTTGGATGGTGTCCACGGGTTTAGCCTGATAGTTTTTAGACCAACCAGTATCTTTTGGTCTCAGTAATGGGAGGTGAGCTTCCAAGCTTCATGAAGGTTTCCAAGGAGACAGATAACAGCTCTTGCTCAGATAAATCCTTGCTATTATTAATCCTTTGGGCGATTTACCTACAATCTGAGGTCGAAGATCATCATGATGAACTTTATTTTTATAAGGAATGTATATTTAGAACTAATCACCTAAAAGCAAGTAGGATTAAACATTATGGACAGCAGCTTCTTCAGATCCCAAAAGCAAAGACAACCTGCCTCAAGCTGAAGCGCTATGTGAGGAAAGACATTTGGGAAAAGGCTTTAAAGGTGCAAATGGCAGTAGAAGTTGGTGTCCTACTGGATTAAGTTCCTCATTTCCACCTCAGATTTGGTCCCAGCTTTTACCTTCTACTCCTGTTTCTTTATCTTCAGCATCAGTTGCATATTTACAATCAGAGGGAAAAGACAGTCAAGTCTATTGCCATTGAATTCAAAATGCAACTAGATTTCTGTAAGAAGAATAAAAAAAAGGAAGACCAAAGACAAGACACCTGCTCATAAGATCATCTGAAAAAAATAGCATATTAACATGCATAGTTTTCAGTGAACCCCATCTCACGTTTCAGGGTGTCAGATTATTTTGCTAGTCATCAGGATGAGACCTTTTCAAACCAACAGACACCAAGTGAAGGCTGGAGCCCTCAATTCCCAGCACATTCCTGCCGCAACCCTGTCTCTCTCCCAATGGGAATTCAGAAGGACAGAAACAGATCTACAGGCTGAATAATTAATTTTGAAAGAGCCTTTAAAAAGGAACTGATTGATTAACAAAACATCTGCTAAGAGAAAGAGTTTTCAGATAGCACCCTGATGGGAACAGATATTTAGCATAGAGAAAACTGGGTATGACTGGATGACATTTAGGCAAGAGAAGGTAGGAGGAGTCATGCAGAAGATCCTTTCTAGCAGTGAATTAAGGATCGTGCGGGGAACAGGATGATACCAATGGGACATTGCATTACCACTACTGACAAATGGTCAGCCAGTGTGGAACCAGTAGCTCTCCAGTACTGCAGAAAGCCACACTTCACCTAAGTACAGATGACAGGATGGTTATTGTTTTGTCTTGCTACTTAGAATGCAAAGAATTATCCCTTTCTCCAGTGTTTCAAGATAAATTATATGAGCCGTATGGCCTTTGTTCCTCATTTTTTCCCTCCACAAAACAAGGGCAGCAGTTGAGTTGCACTCACACAGGTGCTATAAATGCTGCTCTTTTATAGGGACAAGAGAAGAGCAGGGTGTGTGTACACACAGAGGAAAGTAAGTTCTGGAGTGCAAAGAAAGATCATTGCCCATTTTTGAGAAGCAGGCTGCACACACTGATGGATCAGCATCCCCTATAAGTATCCCCATATATCTACAGCTTTGCTGGGAAATGGTTCTCTTCACCATCTTTTGCCCCATATACCATATGCCATGCCCCCAACAAATCCTTTATTTTAGGACAAACATCTTCAGCTTGGATGAAGCATGTTCATCCCATGGATCTCCTTGCTGGCTTTTGTCAGAAGAGCACTCAGTTATATTCATGTCTTTCTAGTATAAGAGTGTTGGATGTGCAAATGTAATATTATGGACCCAGTCCTGCCAGACAGGTGAAGCAACCATCAGACTCTGTCAAAAAACATGTTTATCTGCACAGCAAATCTCCTGTCTTGCTTCAGGAGATTTTAAGGCAAATATTGCACCACTTTTTATCATCTCCAGTCCCACTAGATCTAATTTCACCTCAGGTCCCAAACTCCCGGGCTCTGCAGACTTTTTGATCTTGGCATTGCTCAAGGGAGGATGTCTGTGTCCCACAGCCCAGTCTCGAGACTCTTCTCTGGGCTATTTCCTCCTCCCCAGCTCCACTTGGCCATTTCTCCAAGCTAAATCTACATACAGTTGGACTCAACAGCAAAAGCATAGCAAGCAGCCCTGTGAAACAAGACCCTATTAGCAGAAATGCCTTCTGGAAAAACCTTAAAATCATTAGTTTCCAAGCAGATATGACTTAGTACAACCTGGAGACTTGCAGTTTAGGTGGATTTTTTCAAATTCAAGGTGATATTTGATTTAGTGAAAAGCTGGGCATAGATGGAATGCGGAAGGTTGAACACCTCTCTCTGGTCCTCATCTTTCTAATCTCATCTCAACTTTGCCATTCAAGGGCACAGTCAGAGGACACCCACTACACAAACCAGCTGGAAAAACCTACTGCCAACTCCTCAGGGACATGCAGACTACTGCTTGGAGGTTGGAACAAGACTCACCAGTCTCTAATCTTGCTTTTTGTCGGCTTCAGAGTAAGCCATTTGCTTCTAACAGATATTTACGTATTGGGGAACAGTGAAGGGGAG